GTGTTTGTTAAGTTGCTAAATCGTGTCTGATTCTTCGTGGCCTCATGGACCACAGCATACCAGGCTTCCACTGAGTCACCCTGAGTTTGCCCAAATTCACGTTCTTTGCATCCCCTTCTCTTTTGGCCTTCCATCTTCCCCAACATCAGGGTCTTCTCCAAGGAGTCCTCTCGTCTCATTAGGTGGCCAAAGTATTTGAGCTTCAGCTTCAGGATCTCTCCTTCCAAAGGACAGTCAGGATTGATTTCCTTTAGGATCGACTGATTGGAAGAGTCTGCTCCAACACCATAATTTGAAAACATCAGTTTTTTTTAAAAAATATTTTTTTATTAATCATATTTCTATGCCGCCCACTCTCCGAGGACTCTGGGCGGCTTACAACAATCGACAGTATACTAAAATAGCATATTGCCCACAACAATCTGGGTCCTCATTTTACCCACCTCGGAAGGATGGAAGGCTGAGTCAACCTTGAGCCGGTGAGATTTGATCTGCTGATCTGCTGAACTAGCAGTCAGCTGAAGTAGCTGCAGTACTGCACTCTAACCACTGCGCCACCTCGGTTCTCAGTTCTTTGGCACTCAGCCTTCCTTACAGTCCAACTCTCACAGTCATACATTGCTGATATTAGTTGCGAAGTCGTGTCCGACCCATCGCAACCCCATGGACAACGTTCCTCCAGGCCTTCCTGTCCTCTACCATCCTCTGGAGTCCATTTAAACTCACGCCGACTGCTTCGGTGACTCCCTCCAGCCACCTCGTTCTCTGCCGTCCCCTTCTTCTTTTGCCCTCCATCGTTCCCAGCATTAGGTTCTTCTCCAGGGAGTCCTTCCTTCTCATTAGGTGGCCAAAGTATTTGAGTTTCATCTTTAGTATACTATATTATAATATTATATAATGTTATAAATTATATATAGACATGGACACATGAAAACAATTTTTGGCACAAAATAAAAGGATATAAATAGGCAAAACATAGCCATAAATACATAGAATGATTACATATAAATGGGGACAGTAGGACAGGGACGGTAGGCACCCTGCTGCGCTTACGCACGCCCCCTTGACGGATCTCTTAAGAAACATGAAAGGTCTACAATAGACAGTTTAAAGTAAAAGGTATGGGGGTTAGCGAGACTAACAACATGTTAGTGTTAATGTTGCTGTTAACTAGTTCAGTGTATTACACGAACACTAGTGGGCGGCTATGCTTTGCCTTCTATTAAGACAAATATTCTCTCTGCACTATTTGCGTCTTTTCTAGGTGTAAGCAATCTTTTTGAGCAGACAAGCAGAGTGTTTTGAGAAATTGGAATCATGGAATGATAGAGTTGGATGCCTAGAATTTAAATCCATCCCTCTCTCTCCCCACTCTCCTTCTCTCCCTCTCCTTAGCCCTCTCCCCACCTCTCTTCCCCATCCCTATCTCCCTCTCCCCTTCCCCCTCTCCCACTCCCTCTCCCTCTCTCCCTCTTTCTCTTTCTCATCACTCTCTCTCTCCCTCTCCCTAGCTCTAGCCCTCTTCTCCTCCCCTCTCTCTCCCCTGCTCTCCTCCTCTTTCTCCCTTTCCCTCTCCCTTTTTCTTTCCCTTTCCCTCTCTCCCTCTTTCTCTCTCCCTCTCCCTCCCTCTCTCTCCCCTAGCCCTCTCCTCCTTCCCTCTCTCTTCCTCTTCCTTTCCCTCTCTTTCTCTCTCTCTCCCCTCTCTCTCTCCCTAGCTCTAGCCCTCTCCTCCTCCCCTCTCTCTCCCCTGCTCTCCTCCTCTTTTTCCCTTTTCCTCTCCTTCTCCCTTCCCTCTCTCCCTCTTTCTCTTTTTCTCTCCCTCTCCCTCCTTCTCTCTCCGGGCCCTCTCCTCCTCCCCTCTCTCTCCCCCACCCTTTCCCTCTTTCGCTCTCTCTCTCCTCTCTCTCTCTCTGTGTAGCTCTAGCCCTCTCCTCCTCCCCCTCTCTCCCTGCCCTCCTCCTCTTTTTCCCTTTCCTCTCCTTCTCCCTTTCCTCTCTCCCTCTTTCTCTTTCTCTCTCCCTCTCCCTCACTTCTCTCCCGGCCCTCCTCTCTCCTCCCCTCTCTCCCCCCACCCTTTCCCTCTTTCGCTCTCTCTCTCCTCTCTCTCTCTCTGTGTAGCTCTAGCCCTCTCCTCCTCCCCTCTCTCTCCCCTGCCCTCCTCCTCTTTTTCCCTTTTCCTCTCCCTTTCCCTCTCTCCCTCTTTCTCTTTCTCTCTCCTCTCCCTCACTCTCTCTCCCCCCCTCTCCCTGACCCTCTCCTCCTCCCCTCTATCTCCCTGCCCTCCTCCTCTTTTTCCCTTTTCCTCTCCCTTTCCCTCTCTCCCTCTCTTCTCTTTCTCTCTCCATCTCCCTCACTCTCTCCCCCCTCTCCCTGGCTCTCTCCTCCTCCCCTCTCTCTCCCCACCCTCCCTTCCCCTCTTTCTCTCTCTCCCTCCCCCATCTTCCTCTTCCTCTTCCTTTCCCTTTCCCTCTCTCCCTCTTTCTCTTTCTCTCTCCCTCTCTCTCACTCTCACTCTCTCTCCCCCTCTCCCTGGCCCTTTCCTCCTCCCCTCTCTCTCCCCCACCCTTCCCCTCTTTCTCCCTCTCCCTCCCCCATCTCCCTCTTCCTCTTCTTTTCCCTTTCCCTCTCCCTCTCCCCCTCTCCTTCTCCCTAGCCCTCTCCCCCTCTCTCCCTCCCATCCCCCTCTTCCTTTCCCTCTCCCTTTCTCTCTCTCCCCCTCCCCCTCCCTCTTCCTTTTTCTTTTCCTTTTCCTCTCCCTCTCTGTTGTGTTCTACATTGTGCAAGCAGATCTGCACGTATTTCTATTTTTGTATACGTGTGTGTGTGTGTGTGAAATAAAAGCAACTAATCTGTCTGTGTTGTGTCTACGAGCTTCTCTTATAAATAAATTGCTCAATACCAAGCGAAGAGACTTTTAAATGCATCGCTGTGCCGGAGTACAAGAGTCGGTATGGTACAAATTGACAGGGCAGTTGATTTCGGATAACTGCTTCGAAAGGATAGGCATCGGAGTTTATTTTGAAAATAAATTTTGAAAAGACCCATCAACCAGAGTTTGCCTTCTCTAGCCCAGCGAGCCGACATTTCCATATTACTCGTTTGGGTACTACTTCATCTGAGTAACAAAAGTTAGAAGTGGTGAGAAAAACACTCCCCGGTTTGCCTTCTGATTGAAAATGGACAGAGGTGGGTTTCAGCAGGTTCTGACCAGTTCTGGAGAACTGGTAGCGGAAATTGTGAGTAGTTCGGAGAACCGGTAGTAAAAATTCTGACTCTCTGCCTCCCAGGTCCCAGCTGATTGGGAGGAAATGGGGATTTTGCAGTAACCTTCCCCTGGAGTGGGGTGGGAATGGAGATTTTACACTATCCTTCCCCTGCTACGCCCACCAAGCCACACCCACCAAGCCATGCCACGCCCACCAAGCCACACCCACAGAACCAGTAGTAAAAAAAATTGAACCCCACCACTGAAAATGGACCTCTCTTGTCCTAGTTATCTCTAGATACAAGGAACGACTTACAACTAGATACAAGAGCCTTGATAGTACAGTGGTTTAGTGCACCCTGTTATTAACACAGCTGCCTGCAATTTACGGCTGGTTCAAATCTCGCCAAGGCTCAAGGTTGACTCAGCCTTCCATCCTTTCTAAGGTAGGTAAATTGAGGACCCAGTTTGTGGGGGCAATAAGCTGACTTTGTATAAATATACAAAAGTATGAAGGCTATTGCTTAACGCATTGTAAGCCGCCCTGTGTCTCCGGAGAAGGGCGGCATATAAATCAAATTTAAAAAAAAACAAAAAAAACTGTTCATTTAGCGACAGTTCAAAGTTACAATGGCACTGAAGAAAATGACTTAGGACCATTTTTCACACTGCAGCATTCCCCCTGGGGGATCCAAATCCAGACGCTTGGCAAGTGACTCATATTTATGACGGTTGCAGTGACCCGGGGTCATGTCATCCCCTTTTGCGACCTCCTGAGAAGCAGAGTCAATGGCGAAGCCAGATTCACTTAACAACCATGTTACTAACTTAACAAGTGCAGTTGTTTCACTTAACAACTGTGGCAAGAAAGGTCGTAAAATGGGGCAAAACTTACTTCACCACCGTCTCGCTTAGCACAGGCAGGAATGTTTAGGCTCAATTGTGGTTCTAAATCCATGATGGGGAACCTATGGCACACGTGCCAGAAGAGGCATGTAGTGCCCTCCCTGTGGGCACACGAGCCATCGCCCAATTCAGCTCCGCCACGCATGCACGCGCCTCCCACTGGCCAGCTTGTCTTCGGGTTTTTGCTGTGCATGCACGGGGGGGCAAGGAACGTGCAGGGGGCCACACTTGCATGCACGTGGGGGCGGAAAGTGTGCAGGGGGAGGTGAAGAGGTTGTAAAAAAATGCTTTCAAAAGCCTCTGATGATCCAAGCTGAGTTGCCTGATCGGCAGAGGCTTTTTTTTCTTTTAAATGCCTCTGACGATCCAAACTGAGTTGCCTGATCGGCAGAGGCTTTTTTAAAAACTCAGCTTGGATCGTCAGAGGCATTTAAAAGAAAAAAAGGGGTTTTTTTCTTTTAAAAGCCTTTGATGATCCCAGCTGAGCCGCGTGATCATCAGAGGCTTTTTTTTTACTTTTAAGAGCATTTTTTTCGGCCGAAGAGGTTGTAGAAAAAATGCTTTTAAAAGTAAAAAAAAAAAGCCTCTGATGATTGTGCGGCTCAGCTGGGCATGGGGGGGGGCAGGGATTTTTTTGCTACCGGTTCTCCGAACCACCCGCCTCCATCGCTACCGGATCAGGCGATCCAGTCCAAACCGGGAGCATTTCACCCCTGACGCACGTGCATTGCATTCGGGCACAGTTCGGAAAAGGTTAGCCATCGCTGTCCTAAATCAAGGACTGTCTATAGATTTTTCAACCCCCTTGGGGTCATAATTCGATGACTGCCATTAGTATTAATCAAATTACTTCATCTGCCAAATTAATAAGACTCTTCCGTTCTAACAGGAATCGCACCAGGCTGGCATCTGGAATACATTGATATTGAAGACTCCCTTATGGACAAAATTTTCCGTTTCCAGTGTGACCGCTGGCTTGCGAAAGATGAAGATGACGGCCAGATTATCCGGGAACTGGCTTGTGCCAATAATGACATTTTGGAATTGAAAGAACGAACCTGTAAGTTGAACAACATGGAAGAAAAACCAAATGGTATATAGGTATAGTAGGTGGTACCTGGCTCAATAGTAGTAATAGTGAGAGGGATCTTGGAGTCCTGGTGGACAACCATTTAAATATGAGGCCAGCCGTGTGCAGCACCTGCCAGAAAAGCCAACACAATTCTAAGTTGCTTTAACAGAGGGATGGAATCAAGATCATGTGAAGGGTTAATACCATTTTATAAGGCCTTGATAAGGCCACACTTGGAATATTGCATTCAGTTTTGGTCGTCATGATGTAAAAAAGATGTGGAGACTCTAGAAAGAGTGCAGAGAAGAGCAACAAAGATGATCAGGGGACTGGAGGTTAAAACATATGAAGAACGGTTGCTGGAACTGGATATGTCTAGTCTTATGAAAAGAAGGACTAGGGGTGACATGATAGCAGTCTTCCAATATCCCAGGGGCTGCCACAAAGAAGAGGGGGTCAACTTATTCTCCAAAGCACCTGAAGGCAGGAGAAGAAGCAACAGATGGAAACTAATCAAGGAGAGAAGCAACCTAAAACTTGTTCTGTCCCCGTCTCACACACGCACACAAACAGACTGCCGGGGGTTAAATAAACTGGCAGACAACCAATTCTTTCGATAAGAGGATTGGCAGCAACCCAGTAGCTGCTTGCCAAGACTTTACTCATAAACAAGATACACACAGTTCAAGAATTGTCAAGTCCAGTCCGTAATTAAATCCAAGGCAGATAATGTTGTTTCCAAAGATGCAATGTGACTCGATAGTAGTTATTTAGTTAGTTTTGTCCGTCACAGAGTCTGAATGGCTATCTCACCCCCTTTTATACCCTGTGGGGTGTGGTCCAGTGACTCAGCTTAATCTCTGACACGCCTCTTCTTCTGTTGCGCGTGCTTATCTCTGCGACGCTGCCGAGGATCCAGCCAAGACTCATCTCCCTCATTACTGTCCACCTGTGGCTGCGTGGACGTGCTTGGCCCCGGGCCTATCTCTTGACCTTCGGCGGACACCAAAGGCATTGCCAGAGAGGAGGGTCCTGCAGAGGGAGGCCTTACCAACTCCTCTCCTTCACTCTCAGAGTCCTCTCCTGCCAATGACACAGGCTCAGGTAACGGAGCCACAACAAAACTAAGGATAAATTTCCTGACAGAACAATTAATTAGTGGAACGATACTCCATCACCGGAGGTTTTTAAGAAGAGATTGGACTGGAGTAGTATAGAGCATGCTGCCTGAGCAGGGGGTTGGACTAGAAGACCTCCAAGGTCCCTTCCAACTCTGTTATTCTGGGAGGAATGAGATGAGATATCACTGCAAAATGGCCTTTTCAGCTTATAGCATTTTTGTTAGCCATCTCCTCAAACGCTGAAGTTCTCAGGCCATATTCCTGTCACTTCCACGAGCAGACACGCTGGGGGGAAATGGGATAAATGAGACCATGACACTGACTCTCCTTGTCTGAAATGTCTTCTGGACGTCAGGGCTTTAAAAAAAAAACCTGAAAAAGAGGATTTTTTTAGTGCATGGTCGGGTAAGCTAATCTTATGAAAGCCTAGAGAGAGAAAAAATACAGATGTCTTAATCTTACTTTTAGAGATTTAGAGAAAGCAACTGAATAAATCTCATGATAGCTGATCAAAAGATTAATTCAGGGGTGAGATTCAGAAATTTTAGCAACCGGTTCTCTGCCTTGTTGCTGGGTGGGCGTGGCCTACTTGGCCTCTCGCACCACGTGGGGGTGTTTCCACCCTCTCCAGGCTCTGGAAGCTTTCCTCAAGCCTATGGAGGGCGAAAACGGCCTCCCCCGTGCTCTGGAGGCCCTCCAGAGGCCGGAAACAGGCTCGTTTTTGAACTTCCGGTAGGCCTGTTTTTCGCCCTCCCCAGGCTCCGGAGGCTTTCCTCGAGCCTCCAGGAGGGCAAAAACAGCCTCCCACAGACTCCAGAGGCCCTCCGGAGGCCAGAAATGGGCCCATTTCTGGACTTCCGGAACTTCTGGTAGGCCCGTTTTTCGCCCTCCCAGAGCCTCCACACAGGTCCTGCACTTACCTGTCATCCAAAACGGGCTGCGTGGAGACTCCTGGGAGGGGAGGGGCAAGATGGTCGGGGTCAGCCAGTCCTTGCAACTACCGGTTCAGTGAACCAGATTAAAATTAACATTCAATTCGCCTGAACCGGTCCCAACCCGCTTAATCCCCCCCCCCCCCCGGATTAATTCAACGCTATGTGTTTTGAGTTTTAAATTTCATATATTCCTGGATAGCAGACATTTGGAAGTTCATCCAGGACTTTCTCCCATGAATGCTATAGTTTGACTAAACGAAAGAGACTCAAGCTGCTGAAGTTGACGTTTTTAACTATCAGTCCTGCATCAGTGAAGCACTTCTGTAAATAAACAGGGAATGACAGGGGAAGAAAGTTAAGAAGCTGTCATAAGTGTAGAGTAACTACTGAGTAACTCTTAGAAGGAAAGATTGGTAGACTAGTTCTCCCAGGTTTTCCCACTTTTCTTGGAGATCATAGTTTCAGAGGGCTGGAAGGGACCTTGGAGGTCCTCTAGTCCAACCCTCTGGGGGGGACATCAAGGATCAAAATTGGGACTTGTGTACCAAGCAGAATGCAGAATAACAGTGTTGGAAAGGATCTTGGAAGACTTTAAGTCTAATCCACTGCTCAAACAGGAGACCCATACCATTTCAGACAATCATCCAATCTATAGTGGAATTAGAATTAGAATGACAGAGTGGGAAGGGAACTTGGAGGTCTTCTAGTCCAACCCCCTGCTTAGGCAGGAAACCTTATACCATTTCAAGCAAATGTTGTCCACAAACTCTTCTTAAAAACTTCCAGTGTTGGAGCATTCACAACTTCTGGACGCAAGCTGTTCCTCTGATGAATTGTTCTCACTGTCAGGAAATTTCTCTTTAGTTCTAAATTGCTTCTCTCCTTGATTAGTTTCCACCCATTGCTTCTTGTCCTGCCCTCAGGTGCTTTGGAGAATAGCTTGACTCTCTCTTCTTGATGGCAGCCCCTGAGATATTGGAAGACTGCTATCATGTCTCCCCTAGTCCTTCTTTTCATTAAAGTAGACCAGGGGTCGGCAACCTTAAATACTCAAAGAGCCACAAAGGTCCTAACCGGAAGCCCCCCGTCCAATTCTGGAGCGGATTGGAAGTCCGGTTCCCCCACCATAGAGTCTCCTAGCGCTGCATCCTTTTTCCTCCACCTGTCCTAACTGAAAGCCCTATCAATTGGGGAGCCGACTGGCAACAGGGAGCCGCAGCAGAGGGATGAAAGAGCCACATGCGGCTTCAGAGCTGCAGGTTGCCAACCTCTGAATTAGACATGCCCAATTCTCTTCTTAAAAACCTCAAGATGCTCTTGAACTATGAAACGTGGAATGGGAAACGCTAAACTAAGATGCTTAGCCTTAACTTAGTGCTTTCTCTGAACTTCCAAGCTTATGAGATCCTCACCATTACCAGCAATAAGGAGGATTCCGAGACCAAGGAAAACGTATCCATTATTTTTGAAGGCAAGAGAGGACGTTCCAAGGAGTTCCTTCTGGAGAACTCCTCCAGAAAGAGAAGATTTTTAAGGTATGTTATTGTAATACCATAATTATAGTGACCTGAACTCTTCCTTCATTATAAAATTGAATGATTATAATCAGCAAACTTTGGGCTGATGAAAAGATTGCCCTTAATGAATGCATTGTTCAGCAGCGTCTACTGCTCACTTTAAAAATAAGCGCTGTATTTATAAAGACATATTGTTATAAGATGCGTTCATTATTGGCCACATTTAGGGAACGCCTTTCCTAAACCAATGTATCTTAGTTCTCTAATCTCCAAATAAATACATTCCTTTCTTCTCCCTTTAAAAGAATTGGATGTTTAGATGTGCAACATGATCTATGTTAATTCATTGATTGAAATGTTTCTCATAAGTGTTCAGAGAACCTGCATTATCTCAGTGACCTGTGCATTGAGAAATGTTGGCTTTCTTGTGAACACAGATTATAATTTATGCCTTTTAATAAGAAATAAGTCAGGAAACCTTTCAGACAAATTGAAAATACGGGTTTTCATCTATAAATTAATATTATATGTGGATAAGTCCTTCCTGGAACATTCTAGAGATGATTTAAAGATACATGGCTATATAAATTTGTGTTGGACAGTTTGTAAGCTCTAAAAAAAAAGTATTTATTTATATAAATAACTCGTGGCAACTCACATGCCATCTTCCACCTATTTTCCCCAGAACAATAACTCTGTGAAGTGGTTGAGTTGAGAGAGAGTGAGTGAGGGATTGGCCCAAAGCTAGCTTTCGTGCCTCAGTTGGGACTAGAACTCAGTCTGCTGGTAATTGGCCCAAAGTCACCCAGCTATCTTTTATGCCTAAAGTGGACTAGAACTCACAGTCTCCTGGTAATTGGCCCAAGGTCACCCAGCTATCTTTTATGCCTAAAGTGGGACTAGAACTCACAGTCTCCTGGTAATTGGCCCAAGGTCACCCAGCTGGCTTTCATGCCTAAGGTGGGACTAGAACTCACAGTCTCCTGGTAATTGGCCCAAGGTCACCCAGCTGGCTTTCATGCCTAAGGTGGGACTAGAACTCACAGTCTCCTGGTAATTGGCCCAAGGTCACCCAGCTGGCTTTCATACCTAAGGTGGGACTAGAACTCACAGTCTCCTGGTAATTGGCCCAAAGTCACCCAGCTATCTTTTATGCCTAAAGTGGGACTAGAACTCACAGTCTCCTAGTGATTGGCCCAAAGCTAGCTTTCGTGCCTCAGTTGGGACTAGAACTCACAGTCTCCTGGTGATTGGCCCAAGGTCACCCAGCTGGCTTTCATGCCTAAGGTGGGACTAGAACTCACAGTCTCCTGGTAATTGGCCCAAGGTCACCCAGCTGGCTTTCATACCTAAGGTGGGACTAGAACTCACAGTCTCCTAGTGATTGCCCCAAAGTCGCCCAACTGTCTTTTATGCCTCGGGTGGGATTAGAACTCACAGTCTCCTGGTGACTGGCCGAAAGTCACCTAGCTGACTATAATGCCTAAGGCGGGACTAGAACTCACAATGGTTTCTTGCCAGGCAAGAAACTAGGCAAAACTGGCTGTATCATATGCTGCATTATTATTGTAAACTATTGCCCGTTAACTTATGACTTCCCATCCATTAGCGATTGTTGGTCTGCTCCTTAACAATTAAAGCTTTGGGGGGGGGGCAATCCGCAGAGGAGCATCGGATGTATTCCAGTTTTCTTCAAAAAACGTTGATGATATCGCCGCCGTTTGTGTTGGTCACTGTCCGAAAGATGGGAAGAGACTGAGGGCGAAACCAGACGTATATTGGCATGTTCAGGAAGTCGTCATTACAGAGATGGAACTTGGCAACAAGTAAGTAAGTGCCTCGTAATGAAAAGATGCACGAACGACACAGACTATCAGCCACGGTTTGTAATGTTGGTTTGTGGCACTCAAAGGTTTATGGTCCTAACTGCTGCACCGGGAGTCCTCAACTTGCACCAATTCTCTTAGCAACCATGCAAAGTTACAACAGCACTGGAAAAAGTGACTTATGCCCGTTTTTCACTCGTAAGACCATTGCAGCATCCCCGTGGTCCAAATTTGGCCACTTGGCAACTAACTCACATTTATGACAGTTGGCAGTGTGTCAGGGTCATGGGATCCCTTTTTGCAACCTTCTGACAAGCAACGAGGAAGCCAGATTCACTTAACAACGGTGTTGCTAACTGCAGTTGGCCATGGTGAGTTGGCCATGGCAAATTTATTTATTTATTTAATTTATTTATTTATTCAATTTATATCCCGCCCTTCTCCTAGTGGACTCAGGGCGGTGCACAGCCAGAACTAAAACACATCAATACAAAATTTAAAATTATTAAAAGAATTATATAACTGTGGCCCAAAAGTTTAAAACGTTGAAAACTTGAAACGTTGAAATTGACTGTGGCAAGTTAGCAGCATGAAACCCAGGTGGATTAGGACCCTGGTTGCACAGTGGACTAAACTACTGTTAAAGTAGTATTTATCTGCCAGCTGCCTGCAATTACTGCGAGTTCAATTCTCACCAGGCTCAAGGTTGACTCAGCCTTCCATCCTTCCGAGGTAGGTAAAATGAGGACCCGCTTTGTGGGGGCAATAAGCTGACTTTGTATAAAATAGAACACCGCTTGGGGGGGGGGGCAAAAGCCCTACTAAGCAGGTATATACAAAAGTATGAAGGCTATTGCTTAACGCATTGTAAGCCGTCCTGAGTCTCCGGAGAAGGGCGGCATATAAATCAAACTAATAAATAATAAATAAATAAATAAAATTTGGGGGTAAGAGAGTATCCAGTTTACCATTAAAGTCAGGGTGAAACTCTCCATCCAGGTTATTTCTCACGGCCGACCCAAAACCTTAATTCATCCTAAGTGGCACATCATAAAATATTATCTCTCTTTTCCAGCAAACGTCACATGTTAGGGTTTTTTTGTTTTTTTGTTTTTTGCAGAATGATTCAAAAGATTGGAGTGGAAGAAAAAAGGGTGGAAGAAAAGTTGCAGTCATTAAGGAGAGGAGTTGTGGAGGGAAAGATTTTTGAAGCCAATTAAGTGGCTTTTCCGGGCCTAAAAATGATGTGGAATTTTGCCACCAGAAGGAATTTAAACAAAAGGGTAACAAGCATTCAATCAGAAAGGATTTAGGCAAAGCTGGCACAATACTCGTTAGAGAAAGTCGGTTCTTCTTTGCCACAAAGAAAAACAAGCATTCTGCAGCAAATATTTTAATTTTTGGGGACGGGAGGGTAACGCACAAATCCTTTCAAATCCAGGACTCTGCTTTCGTCTTCCGGCAGGTATTTCTTCAAATGTAATGCAAAAATTCCACTCCGCGCCAAGAGAGGAGACTACAAGGTGTTTGAGTGTGCCAAGGTGATCGAAAGCTTCGCCAGCAAAGCTCGGAGTCTGGTGCCCGTCAGATACGAAGCGATTGTCGTGACAGGCTCTCAAAAAGGATCTGGCACTGATGCCAATGTCCACATTACCATATTTGGGGTGAACGGGGATTCGGGCAAGCGGCGTTTAAAGCAGAAATTCCGCAATCTCTTTGAACGGGGCAGCACCGATCGGTTTTACCTGGAAATTCTCGAACTCGGAGAGTTGAAGAAAGTTCGCGTCGAGCACGACAGCAGCGGACTCTCTCCCGGGTGGCTGGTGGAACGGGTCGAGATCACCAACTCAGCTACGGGCATAACGACCAACTTTCCATGCGGGAAATGGTTGGATAAGAATAAAGGGGACCAATTAACATGGAGGGAATTGTTTCCCAGAAGTTAATGGCAACTTTAGAATAGAACTAAATGGACTGCCATTTGTCAGAAGTGGTGTAGGGTCTCCTGCTTGAGAGGGGGGGGGTGTTGGACTAGATGACCTATAACCGTGGTGGCGAACCTATGGCACGCGTGCCACAGGTGGCACGCAGAGCCATGTCGCCTGGCACACCAGCTCAGCTCCGGCGTGCATGCATCAGAGTCTCTGGAGGCTGGGGACAGCAAAAAAGTAACTTCCTGTCCAACCAGAAGTTGGGCTGTTTCGGGCCTCCGGGAGGGGCTCTAAGGAGGTGGGGAAGGCTGTTTTCGCCCTCCCCAGATGCTTAGAGAGGATCTGGAGCCAGGTGAGAAAGAAAAACAGGCCTACCGGGCCATCACGTGCTAGGAGCAGAGGGAGGAGGGAGGGGTCACATGTGCGGGGCGGGGTGCATAGAATTATGGGTGTGGGTATGCATGCACGCAAACCTCCCCCGCCCCCTCCCTTCCTGGCACGCGATGGCAAAAAGGTTAGCCATTACTGACCTATAAGGTCCCTCCTGACTGTTAATCTGTTTAGAATAGAGCTGGAAAGGACCTTGGAGGTCTTCTAGTCCATTCCCTGCTCAAGCAGGAGAACCTATGCCATTTCATACAAAGGATTGTCCAATCTCTTCTTCAAAACCTCCAGTGATGGAGCCCCCACAACTTCTGGAGGCAAAGCTGTTTCCCTGGTTAATTGTCCTCACTGTTGGGAAGTTTCTCCTTAGTTCTAGGTTGCTCCTCTCCTTGATTAGTTTCCACCCATTGCTTCTTATCCTGCCTTCAGATGCTTTGGAGAATAAATTGACCCCCCTCCTCTTTGTGGCAGCCCCTCAAATACTGGACTATTACTATCTACCATGCTATACTTTGCAGGATGTAATTTTCCAAAATTGGTTTTTGCACCATCTGGCAGGTGAATTTTCAGTCTGGAATGCTTTCTTCAACAAATTAAATTTCAGAACCAAAACAACTTGGGGGTTTGATGCAGTGGTAGGTTCCTCCCCATTCGGCCCGGTTCCGCTGAACCGGTAGCGGTGATGATATGACGTCACCGAACCGGTTCTGCCCCCCTCGCACCCCCTGCCCCCCCGCGTTATTCTTACCTTTTATTTGGCCCCACCCCCAATCTATTGCTCTGAGTCCCAGCTGATGGGCTATAAGAAAAACTGTTTAAACTCTTGCCGCGGGGCTTCAAAGGGCCGCCCTACAGCTGATCAGTGGTAAAAGGCAGTTTGGTGGTAGACCAGTGCCTCCAAAAACAAATGAGTAGACCAGTGTCTGCAAAAATACATGAGTAGACCGGTGCCTGCAAAAATAAATGGGTAGACCAGTGCCTGCAAAAATACATGAGTAGACCGGTGCCTGCAAAAATAAATGGGTAGACCAGTGCCTGCAAAAATAAATGGGTAGACCAGTGCCTGCAAAAATAATGGGTAGACCGGTGCCTGCAAAAATACATGAGTAGACCGGTGCCTGCAAAAATAAATGGGTAGACCAATGCCTGCAAAAATACATGAGTAGACCGGTGCCTGCAAAAATAAATGGGTAGACCAGTGCCTGCAAAAATACATGGGTAGACCAGTGCCTGCAAAAATACATGAGTAGACCGGTGCCTGCAAAAATAAATGGGTAGACTGGTGCCTGCAAAAATACATGAGTAGATCAGTGCCTGCAAAAATAAATGGGTAGACCAGTGCCTGCAAAAATAAATGGGTAGACCGGTGCCTGCAAAAATAAATGGGTAGACCAGTGCCTGCAAAAATAAATGGGTAGACCAGTGCCTGCAAAAATACATGAGTAGACCGGTGCCTGCAAAAATAAATGGGTAGACCAGTGCCTGCAAAAATAAATGGGTAGACCGGTGCCTGCAAAAATAAATGGGTAGACCGGTGCCTGCAAAAATAAATGGGTAGACCAATGCCTGCAAAAATACATGAGTAGACCGGTGCCTGCAAAAATAAATGGGTAGACCAGTGCCTGCAAAAATACATGGGTAGATCAGTGCCTGCAAAAATAAATGGGTAGACCAGTGCCTGCAAAAATACATGGGTAGATCAGTGCCTGCAAAAATAAATGGGTAGACCAATGCCTGCAAAAATACATGAGTAGACCGGTGCCTGCAAAAATAAATGGGTAGACCAGTGCCTGCAAAAATACATGAGTAGATCAGTGCCTGCAAAAATAAATGGGTAGACCAGTGCCTGCAAAAATAAATGGGTAGACCAGTGCCTGCAAAAATAAATGGGTAGACCGGTGCCTGCAAAAATAAATGGGTAGACCAGTGCCTGCAAAAATAAATGGGTAGACTGGTGCCTGCAAAAATACATGAGTAGATCAGTGCCTGCAAAAATAAATGGGTAGACCAGTGCCTGCAAAAATACATGAGTAGACCGGTGCCTGCAAAAATAAATGGGTAGACCAGTGCCTGCAAAAATACATGGGTAGACCAGTGCCTGCAAAAATACATGAGTAGACCGGTGCCTGCAAAAATAAATGGGTAGACTGGTGCCTGCAAAAATACATGAGTAGATCAGTGCCTGCAAAAATAAATGGGTAGACCAGTGCCTGCAAAAATACATGAGTAGACCGGTGCCTGCAAAAATAAATGGGTAGACCAATGCCTGCAAAAATACATGAGTAGACCGGTACAGCTCTGCAAGCAGTTAAAAGCCTGGTAGACCAGTACCTCTGCTAAATCCTAAAGAATTGCCACACGACCATCAAGCCACACCCACAAAATAAGCCACCCCCACAGAACCGGCAGTAAAAAAATTTAGAACCCACCCCTGGTTTGATGTAAATCTAACTTAATCCTGTAAGGCCGCTTTGCAGGCCTTGGATCATACAGGGCTTTGGCAATTTCCTATTTTTCAAAATCGGATCCTCTTTTTTTTTTTTAACAAAATCTTCGTTCCATTCCAAAATGTCATTTCTCCCACACCCAGAAAGAAATATTACAACTCCCATCAGCTCTTAAATAGACTTACCTGAAATTTATGATGATTTGCTGAATGTTTTTTGTTTTTTGTACAAGATCGCTGTTCTAAAAGTGCTCCGTTTTTGGCTAATAATTTTTTGGGGGATAACGTGCGGATAAATGAATACAGGTAGTCCTCGACGTACGACCGCAGCTGAGCCCAAAATTTCCATGGCTAAGCGAGACAGTTGTTAAGTGAGTTTCGTCCCATTTTGCAACGGTTTCTTCTCACGGTTGTTAAGTGAACCCGTGCGGTCGTCCAGTTAGGAATAGGGTTGTTAAGTGAATCTGGCTTCCTTATTGACTTTGCATGTCAGAAGGTCGCAAAAGGGAATCGCGTGACCCCGGGACACTGCAACCGTCATAAATATGAGTCAGTTGCCAAGCGTCCAAATTTTGATCATGTGACCAGCAGGGTGCAGAGGTGGTATTCAGCAGGTTCTGACCAGTTCTGGAGAGCCAGTAGTGGAAATTTTGAGTAGTTCGGAGAACCGGTAGTAAAAATTCTGACTGGCCCTGCCCCCATCTATTCTCTGCCTCCCGAGTCCCAGCTGATTGGGAGGAAATGTGGAATTTGCAGTAACCTTCCCCTGGAGTGGGGAGGGAATGGAGATTTTACAGTATCCTTCCCCTGCCACGCCCACCAAGCCACGCCCACAGAACCGGTAGTAAAAATTTTTGAATCCCACCACTGGCAAGGTGGTACAATATTTGTAAGAGTGAAAAACTTAAAGAGCCTTGATAGTACAGTGGTCTAAAGCACCCTGTTATTAAGACCTGCAATTACTGCAGGTTCGAATCTCGCCAGGCTCAAGGTTGACTCAGCCTTCCATCCTTTCTAAGATAGGTGAAATGAGGACCCAGATTGTGGGGGCAATAAGCTGACTTTGTATAAATATACAAAAGTATGGAGGCTATTGCTTAACGCATTGTAAGCCGCCCTGAGTCTCCAGAGAAGGGCGGCATATAAATCAAATTTTTTAAAAAAAAACAGTAATAAGTCACTTTTTTCGGTGCCACTGAAACTTTGAATAGTCACTAAATGAACTACGTAATTCGGGGACCACCTGTACAGTTATAACTACAGATATGTGTATAAAACTTACATGAAAGGACAGCCTTTTTCCGACTGAAAACATTTCCACCGCAAGCTGTGAAGCCATTTTAGTTTTCCCAGGCTTACACCTTTTCTTAAAAACTAATAAATCTCTCCCTGAAACATGTGTGGCATTTTATTATACACTTCACGGAGTTCCCAAAGAAGAATCGATCACCCCAGCCAGAATTGTAAGCAGGATGATTAGAATTGGCTGCTTCCAATTAAGTAGGGAAAAAAATATGCTCCCAAGACAGGACATAGCTGGATTGTAGCCAGAGTCCTGCCCACACCATGGTTATCGCAGTGGTGAAATCCAATTTTTTTTCACTACCGGTTTTGTGGTGTGTGGCTTGGTGGGTGTGGTGTAGCTTGGTAGGCGTGGCAGGAGAAGAATACTGCAAAATCCCCATTCCCTCCCTACTCCAGGGGAAAGATATTGCAAAATCTCCATTCCCTCCCCACTCCTGGGGAAGCACTCCAACCACTCCTTCTCCAGATGTAAGATCACCCTGACCTTGACCGATAGGAAGAATTCTATTATGTCTACAGACAACCCCTCTACTAAATCCCTCCTCCTACTTTCCCACAGATGAGAAGGTTGCAACATGGAAGCTTCCGGCTTAATATGGCTTCCAAAGCTGACAGAGATGGTATTCAGCCGGTTCGGACCAGTTTGCCCGAACCGGTAGTGGAAATCGTGGGTGGGCCGGCCACCTGAGCCAGCTCTATGCCATCCTATTTAGGCACTTTTTTTAAGACAGGCACATTGCACGGAAGGCATGCGTGTGAGCAAAGCGCAGCAGAAGGCAGGCGTGTGCATGAGTACTCTTCTGCGCATGCGCAAGATGGCGACTTGCCTGTGATCCCGGTGATCCTGGGGGGCGATTATGGCTCCAGGGGGCCTTTGGAGGGCTGAATTTCGATCATTGCAGCCCTGGCCCAGCTGGAGGAGTGTTGGGGCTCTCCGTTGAGGGGTCTCCGGCTTCTGTGAGTGTCCTTGAGGCTCGCG